AATACGTGTACATAAGGGAGTGGGCGATGAAATTCATGCATACCATCCAACGGGCTGTGGCGGGTACGTCACCGAACACGTACCACGAATAGATCAACGTTAGACAGTGGTGTACCCAATGCAGGGTGAGCAGTTTGCCACCCCGGAGCAAAATGAACAAGGTGTCCACCAGTTCGACCACTTTGCTCCATACAAATAGGATGTACCACCAGTTGAGACGACTATCTTTATAGTAATCCGACTGACAATAGGACGCCTCAAACCCTTTCGTACGTAATATGTGTATGAATTCTGGTAAACATCTTATGACTCCTATAATGGAAAATATGGCCAAAAATGAGTTCCAAAACGTCAATAATGTCCGCAAATTGTATGGCTTTCCGCGACTTTTCATCCATTGTTTTATTATTGGTATTAAAATGATATATGCGATCGATATATACACCGAATAATACCATTTCTTTTGCATGAATTCGTGTAGAGAATCGGCGTTTAGAGTACGAAACATATAGTCTTCCCATTCGGTTACACCGGGAATGTACGCCAAACCCGGGAATTGTGTCCAATCCAGAGACCATTTGTCCGCATTGTAATCAATAATATTATAGTTATTATATCGCATGTCTTTAGCCATCGCTGGTTTGCATGCAAACAAATTGAGTGCAATTTTCAAAAGCAACTCTTTATAAATAATTTAAATATCTTAAACTTTTGATAATGATAAAAGTAGAAGCAATGATTTCCTTTGATTTTTAATTGTTTAATGCTATTTTCTTACGATTAATCTTGATGCATTATTTTAATAAGATATGTTATTTATCTCAAAGTTTATCCTCGTCCAAATAAATACTAATTTATAATTACAGTGTAGTTATTTATAATTTCTTAGGTGTTTTAGGCGGCAAATATATATTTAAGTCATTTTAAATAGAAATAATAGGATGCATTATTTACCAGTTGTAAGTCTAATACCTATAATGCAACAGTAATTGCTATTTGTAAATTTAATTTTAAAATTATATTAATTAGTGGATAATGAGGTTTGGTGAATTGATGTAATGAGGTTTTTAAATTAATTCTTATTGAAATATAAAATTATATTTTTATCGCATTTTAATTGCAGAGAAAATGACGTGCATTTTAAGATTAATTATATACTTAATACATATTATGAATGAAATAATGAGTATTTTAATTGAACATTTATATTAAATACGTTATTATTAACATTTCCCTCATCAATATGTTGT